ACCGGTAGAGAGTCTGGTTATTGGAGGTTATTTCCTGTATTGTTTGATCACCTCATTTCACAATTTATTAACACAAGCCAATAATTAAATAATTTCAACTGATCTCTTCCTAGAAGAAAATGTGAAATAAATGCTACCTGAGATAACAGGAATTTACTTAGACTTGTATTTTTTTTAACAAACTGAGATAACATTTCTTTAAATAAATGTTCTTGGTGGGGGAGGCAAGGGCAACATACGTAACCAAACACTTGTACTCCCATAATAGCAGAAAGAAAAAAATGTTCTTAGTAGTTGAAACATATATAAGATGTATATAAAATATGTAAGTAATTAAATAGAGTAATAGAATTCTTAGGAAGAAAGTACTAGGAAAAATCTTGCCTAAGGAGTTGGTCAAAATTGCTGATCTCCATGGTTTTGACAAATATCATCCTTCTAATCTGAAAAGGCATCCCTGTGTCCTCCTGACTGTGGAAGAACAGTAGGATGTTGAGTCAGTCCTGGGTAAAATCATGGCATTAACTTGGTGGACCATGAACTCATATTTGGTTCTATAAAGTCTGGCCCTAATGTTTACTTTGCCAACAATAAGCTGAAAACCTTTGTGAAGGGTGCTTTGTGTTCCCTTTCATTGTGAGATTCTGAGAGCTCTTCATCAGTGATAATTACTCGTACTCAAAATAGAAGTGCAAAAGAAATCAAGGGAAAGTGCTGAAATGTGCGTATTTGTGAGTAACATAATACTTTCTATCACTAACATACTTACATAATTTCTATTGAAATGTCACCCAAGAGTTTTATTTAAGCCTCCATTCATTAGCTTTATTATATAAAGAGTAAATCAAAGCATAAAATGCTATGTGAGTACCCCTGAGATTGCAATGCTTAATTTCTGAGCTTCAGCCTCAGTTTTAATGTTAATAACATTTTTATCCGGTTTTCAAAATGACTTCCAAACATTTGGAATTAAACTGAACTCCCCCTTATTTCTCACAACAGTGGTGCTCAAAGTGTGGCCCCCAGACCAATAGAAGCAGCAGCAGCACCTGGAACGTGTTAGAAATGCAAATTCAAAAGCCCTCCTCAGTTCCTACTGGATCAAGAAGTCTAGGGATGAGGCCCAGCAGTCTGTGTTCTAACAAGTCCCTTTCTGATCCTTACGCTTATGTCAGTTTGAGAGCCACTGGGTCTAGTAGAACAGACCTACAGAGGGATTAAATGATTGGAATACTCAATGGTCAGAGGTAGGAATAAAGCCTCTTCATTTCTATTCACTGGTTTTATTGTGGGGTTAGTTTTCTTCCACACCATTGCTTGCTTTCCAAATGGACCAAAGGCTTGCATGACTTGAATCCAAAACTGATGGTTCACTTTGGGACCTACAAACACTCCTTTCTAAGGAAACAAGGCTAAAGTCAAGGCCATGTTTATTTAACCCAGGCAAAAGGATCCACACTAGTAAATTCATTGAGGAGCTCCTAACATTGGGAGTGGTGGAAACACTGCTATTAGATGTTGGCCAGGTGGTAATGGGGCACACAGATTGGATCCTGAATTAAGGGGACCAGGTGTCTTCTTAATCCGGTTCTATCTAAGGCACCCGTTAAGATCAGGCTCTAGTGAGGAAATCAGTTAGCTCATCTCTAGTAATTGAAACCAAGGGGCTAGAGTTTATGTCAAATTTGAAAGACACCATGAAATTCAAAATTCTGAAAATACTTGCCTGTTTTGGTAGTGGGTCCAGAAGACTACAGTCATATTTATAAAGCATTAAGATAACACATATTTGAATCTCTAACAGAGCAAACCACCTAAAAGAAAAATATAACATTGTTACTTGATGCAAACGATGTATATTTACCGACATAGAATATCTAGAAAGTGTATCTATTTCAGAGCAAATATACTGCCAACTGAGTGAAAAGAAAAATGTCAAGCTTTTGAAGAATTAAAGTTAGTTTTTATTCATAACGCTTACTGAGGACTATAGACCAAGGCCTCCAGCCCAAGAGGAGTCTTTCAGAGAAGCTCCATCAGACTCTTCCAAAATAGTATTTTAGTTCACATTGTATACCAGTGGTGGAGGTTCATTTTGTGCAAAATCACATCAAATCTGCTTAGAAGCTACATTAAAGCAGAATCACATTAAGGTTCAGGTATAAGAGTATACGTGCTTAGAGTTTGCAAGGGCATAATTACTAACTCAATAAATGAACAGACAATGGAAGGTGATGCTTTCCATAAAGCAGATTCGATTTCCTGCCCTTCCTACCTTTCTCTATGTTTCTGTGGCACTTTAAATATTGTGGGGCAAGAGTAGTTGAGGCAGGCCCTCGAGGAGATTAGCTACTTCTCCCCATGGAGGCAGGTCCCTAAGATAGGCGTCGCCACAGAGGATAAGGAAATTGATGGGCAACAGAGAGAAATAAAAGAATACACAGAGACTAAGGTATAGTTTATAGGTTTATATATATACATATATAAAGATCAGATATAACACAGCAGGGAGTACCCAGGAGACTGGCGTATCTCTATAAACACCTGCAATATGGTTAGATTCATATGTTTTTATAATCACAGACATCAATTACCAGTTGTCAGGGTAACGTATCTGCATATCAGGGAATGCAGTTGCTAGGGGATACAGGCAGTGAGGTTAGGGTCAAAAGTCCTCTCAAGGGGCTTCTAATCTACCTAGGTGAACAAAACAGGTACAAAGTCTTTCAGGGGCTAGCTTCTAATTCCTAAGAGGTGGTTGTCAATTAACAAAGGTAAAACAACAGAGGTATAGTGACTCAATATATCTTTGATAGTTATGGTGGACTTAAAGTGACAGACAAGAGAGCAGGAAGCCCATCTCTAATAAAACAGGTTGTTTATAACCACTGGGGCGCTTCTCTGGGCAAAGTGCACTCATTGTCTCCGGCTCCCATCCTGTGGGCCATGTTTGCCTTGTCTTTCAAGACACAGGGAAGCTCACAGATTTTGAGATACTGGGAAGCCTTCTTGAAAACGTCCCCACGGAGATTTCAGAGCTCTCCCATGATACGCAGCCTCTAGTGAACCATTGGGTCCACACATTCCTTCAGGGCAAAAACCCTGCAAACTCCTGTTTCTGTCTTTAATATCGTAATGTTGAGCTATACAAAAAATAATTGTCTTATGAGCCACATTTCACTAATTCCTCAATCATATTTTCCCAACAAAATATCTCTCTGCTAATGTCCTTAACCTGTAATCCCACTATATCCTATTATATTTCACAGTCATTTGCATGTCTGTCTCCCCTTGTAGACTACAGTCTTCACAAAAAGCAGGAACCACGTCTTATTCATCTTGAATCCTCAATGTTTGTTGCTTGATTGAATGAATGAATATGAACAATCTGATGTTCATATCAAATAATTAGATTTTTCATCCCCTGGTGTTCCTTGAAACATTTTAACTATATTTCATTTCAAATGAAATCTAGAGTACTCCAGGGTATTATAATAACCCACTTGAATACCACATCAACTCTTCTGTAATTTTTATGATGCAAATTTAATCCTACTTTCTGGTAAATGCTAAAGATAATTTATTCCAAGAGAGTATCAATGTCTATGAAATAGGACACACACGATATTTATTGATTCAGATCAAATTAAGCAGTGATTCTAAGAAAAAGCAATTTTGCTAATTTGTGCGCAGGTTCAGAATTTCTCACAACTAAGGTTTTGTCAAACTTTTAACAAACTAGAACCTCCATTCCTGGCAAACTAACAAAAGTCAGTGTTACCCTCCTTCCTTAAATAACCCAGAAAGGGGCAAAATCCATAGATCCCAAGTAAAATGAAAGAAACGAGGTGAATTCTATGATTGCTTTAGTTTACTGCCTACAGCAGTTTCCAGCCCACAGTGCAAGGAAGGGAAACCCTCCAAGACCTGACAGTATTACTTAATTAAGGAGACAGAGATCAAAGTTCAAGCAAACTAAAAGAGACTAGAATTTGTAGGGAAGAATATCAGAGAGGAGGGGGTTTCAGAGACAGAGAGAGAGAGAGAGAGAGAGCGCTAAAGTACTCCAGAGATCTAAATAGGGTTTTTTTTTTTTTTTTGAATATTTGGCAGAGTGTTGATCTCTGCATGTATGAGAGGAAACGACTGAGGCTGGAAAAGGATGATGAAAAGAAAGTCAAAGAGCAATAAGCTGAATAAGGCCCAGAGCTCACACAAGACATGGAAGTTTGTGTTCCCACAAGAAAGAGTGTAAAGACCTTTTAGCACATAGAGCACTGCACAGTCCTTAACAGGGTATTTTGCATTAGTTGTGGTATTATATTATCTTATGTTAAGTACCACTCTAGAATGACCTTAACAAAGACTAAAAACAAATTTTGAAAACTTGTTTTTTCTAAGCAACTAACCACATGCCATAATAAAGTCTAAAACTAAAAGGATACAATAAAATCCAGCATCCATGACACTTACATCTTGCATCATCTACTCAAAAATTACCAGGCCCTTAGAAGAGCTAAGAAAATGTGACTCAAAGCAAGAAAATCTGTTCAAAAGAAACAGGCCTCAGAAATGATGGATATTAGAAACTAATTAAATACACTCCAAATGTTTAAAAGGTAGAAGAAACAGCATGATGAGGAGAGAATAGAAGATATAAAATATCCAAATTAAACTCCAGCAAGCAACTATATACCTTAAATAAAAACATATGACTGGGATTAAAAGATGATAAGACACTGCAAAAGAAAAGATCATAGAACTTAATTAACATAACAATAAACATCTAAAATGAAGTACAGAGAATAATAAGACTATAAAAAGAAATGAACAGAATGTCAGTGACCCATCAAATAATTTAAAGCAGCCTAACATAAATGTCATTAGAGATATGGATGGGCAAGCAAGAAAATATTTTAAGGAATAATAAGTGAAACATTTTCAAATTTTTGAAAACTATAATTTACAAATCCAAGAAGCTCAATGAAACCTAAGCAGAAGAAACATAAAGAAAACCATGCCAAGCAAATCATAATCAAATTGCTAAAGAGCAGTCATAAAGGAAAACGTTTTAAAGTGTCCAAAGAAAGAAGACACAATAAATAAAGAACAACAAAATTAAAAGGTAACGCAGACTTTTCATCAGAAACTTTCTAAGCCAGAAGACAATGAACAGTATGTTTAAAGTGTTGAAAGAAAAAAAAATATGCTATCAAGGTATAAAGACACGCTTTTTGTAATAATGCACTAACTCTACTGTGAAAGAGGCCAGCTTGGAAAATCTGGGGCAAATATTTAATTTTCCTCCTTAAGGATTTAGATTTTACCATGTATTAGGGAAAAATGATTATCTTTGGGAGATGTGAAAGAAAGAGAGAGAGAGATGTTGAAATGACAGTCAACCATTCAACAGAGAATTTGAGGAATTCACATTTGGACAGATCTCAAGGACATGTGTGCCTGTGTCCGCCATGGACTGTTTTGAGGAACTCAAGATCCAAGGACAACCAAGGAAAATCCCAGAGGCAGGAAAATGAGGAACAATAGCAGGCTTGTGTTACTAGAAATGATCAAGGCAAGGGGAGTGCCAGAGAAATATTCTGGTTACATAGAGAGCCTTGTGGGGCATGTTAGAGATCTCATCTCATTCTGTGAGATGGGAACCAATCGAATGGTTTCAAGTGATATGATAAGTTCTGAAATAATTGTTCTGGCTGCTACTTTGAGAACAAAATACAAGGTGATAGGGATGAAGATTGATTAGGAAGCCATTGCTGAAAGCTACAATGTTATCCTTCACTCAGACTCTGAGAAATATACTCGTGGAGAGAGGGAGATGGATCTTGGAGAGAAACCGACTTCTCAGGGGATGGATGGGGCTGTGACTATTTTGTAAAAGAGACAAGCACAGCGCCATGTAAAGGCATGTAAGGTTAGGAAACAGTGACTTTCTGTGAAGTGCTCAACTTAAAATACTTTTCTCCGGGACTACGGAAAAGAAATAGTTCCTGTACAATGTTAATATTTCCCTATCTATGCCGTAATTTTTTTTTTTCGATCAAGTTCAGCAAACTAAAAGAGACTAGAATTTGTAGGGAAGAATATCAGAGAGGAGGGGGTTTCAGAGACAGAGAGAGAGAGAGTGCTAAATACTCCAGAGATCTAAATAGGGTTTTTTTTTTTTTTTTGAATATTTGGCAGAGTGTTGATCTCTGCATGTATGAGAGGAAACTACTGAGGCTGGAAAAGGATGATGAAAAGAAAGTCAAAGAGCAATAAGCTGAATAAGGCCCAGAGCTCACACAAGACATGGAAGTTTGTGTTCCCACAAGAAAGAGTGTAAAGACCTTTTAGCACATAGAGCACTGCACAGTCCTTTAAAAGGGTATTTTGCATTAGTTGTGGTATTATATTATCTTATATGTTAAGTACCACTCTAGAATGACCTTAACAAAGACTAAAACAAATTTTGAAAACTTGTTTTTTCTAAGCAACTAACCACATGCCATATAAAGTCTAAAACTAAAAGGATACAATAAAATCCAGCATCCATGACACTTACATCGTTGCCACATCTACTCAAAAATTACCAGGCCCTTAGAAGAGCTAAGAAAATGTGACTCAAAAGCAAGAAAATCTGTTCAAAAGAAACAGGCTCAGAAATGATGGATATTAGAAACCTAATTAAATACCACTCCAAATGTTTAAAAAGGTAGAAGAAACAGCATGATGAGGAAGAGAATAGAAGATATAAAATATCCAAATTGAAACCTCCAGCAAGCAACTATATACCTTAAATAAAAACATATTGACT